TGTTTTTTTTTTTTTCTTGACAAAATTTTATATACATCATAAATATACAGTACATACGATTACATGTTAAAAACATTGGCTAATTCAAGTATATCAAATATACAGATGCACAGTATATTACATTAACAATCACTCTTTAGTAGACTACCGTTAACATAAGAATAATTTTGGTCTCTAGAGTTTCCACAAGGTCAAGGACCATTACTCTGGCAGTAATTAATGGAAATCATTGAAAATCACCAGGCTTCTTTGGTTCATGGCCTTAAACATGGTTTATAAATGTAAAGTCAATTGGATGATAACTTTAGCCTGTAGAGCGTTCACAAGATTTGTTAAAGTGATCAAGGGCCATAACTCTGGCAGTAATTATTGGAAATCAATGAAAATAGCTGCCTGGTTCTTATAACCTTAAACACTATGTATAAATTAAAAGACAATCGGATGATAACTTTGGTCCCCAGAACAAGATATGCTACATAAATAACAAATATTTCTAGTTGAGGTCTATTCAAGGGAATGGAAGCTTATTGACCTTATTTCCTGGAGCTGACAAACAACTTACAGTTGGTCACCAAATTAATCCTTAGTAAAACTGCAGACAAGCAAAATTTTGAGAGAGAGAAATTGGGTTTAACGTCCACTCGACACAAACTACGTCATTTCGGGACTAACATATGGTTTAATTCTTTATTTCAATAATTCGCTTGCGCGTAGGGGTCTTTAGCAGTGGGAGGAAACCGAAGGACCTGGAGAAAACCCACGAGATTGGAGAGGCGACCCTACTCCTTGTCACGTACAACCGGGGATTCAAAACCACGCCAGTTGACTCAATGACAGGCCTTATGATACATCGCGCGTGCTAAGCATTCAGCCATCCAACCCCACCGCAAAATTTTGAAACAGCATTCTTGTAATATTAGGTGTCACAGCTCCATTGCCCGCGTTGGAAGAAAGTCGTTTTTTCCGGATTTGTAACCCTTTTTTAACTTAACGTTAAACAGTGGCTACTTAATCTTTTGTAATAATTTAAAAATATTTTGGAAGCCGATATTATGTTCTTTTGTTCGATATAATTTTTATATACGTGTTCGTTTTATTTATTTCATAAGCGTAAGTTGAAAAACGTCAATTTGCCGTGTTTTGACGTTACGCAGAAAAATTTTGTCACGTTTTTAAATGAGGGTACCCCACTTCAAATGCTCGGCGAGGTCACTCATTATTAATATTTCTTTTTCATTTTAATATCATTAGAAAGATAATTGAATGATCTTTCGATCGGTCGGGGGTGCTTTGTTGACATTTCAAAATACCATGCTTTTTTTTTTTAAGTTGAACACTTCAATTCACATAATCTTTTTTTGAGGAAATTTGCCAATATAGCACCCCCGACCGATCAAAAGTTTGTTTTATTGCCGTTTCGATGCTATTAAAATCAACAAAATCGGATCATGTCAAGTGACCACGCCGGGCATTTGAAAATGGTATACATCAAAAAATGTTTTGGAAAATAATTAATAACGTAGTTTGGCATGTGATGACGTCATTTCAACGCGCGAAGAAAAAAATAATTTCAAGTTCCTAAGACCCATATTCACGGTAAATTACGTCTCAATGCAATATGAATAAATGACTTGCCTGAAAAGACATAATGATAGATAATTCCATTATTTTGATGCCTGATCTCGACAAGGATCCACAATGTTTACATCACGTGACTCATATTCGCGCGCTTTTATCGAAGGGAAATTTCCTCTCGTCTCAGCTCCTATTACACACACCTTTAAGTTTAACACCAAATATTTTTCAACCGTTAAAAAATTGCCAAACATAGACAAGTATTTCAATGTTCTGAATTACTTAATTCTCTGTTGTTCATGCCTAATTTGAAGTATTTAATGTGCACATGAATGAAAATGAAATCGGAAAATATCAACACGGTATGGGAGAACCATTTCCGGTTGCGACTTGTATTCGTCTGAAGGAACGGACTTACGGATAATAATAACATGATTTCTGACCATTGTAATACCCAAATAAAGTTGGAATGGCAAAAGAATTAACACCAACAAAAAATAATTTTAATAATGGCTCAAATTCTGGAATTTCCGTTGACGATTTACAACATTTCGTTTGAGATTAGTGCCGTGGTAAGTCAATAAAATGGCCGTACAGTTACAAAATCAATTTATTCAATATTTTATCATTATATATCGGTTTTCATACTAATTATTTATATGTTTAATTCATTGTAATTTTGGGAAAATACATTTATTTAACACCAAATGTTATTTGTTAGCCAGTAAAAAACAAATTGAATCTAGGCCGACAAACACAGGGTGAAGGCTTTATTAAATTTAATAGGCCTAGATTTGATGTTGTTGACGAAAATATTCGAAATAAAAAAAGGGTAGTTGCTCCACGATAGTCTACATTTGGAGGAATAATGAAAATGTTCAAATGTAAAGTAGACCTACATTGTAAAAACAAAACAATTCTTCCAGTCAAAATCCTAGCATTAGTGCCACCCTAGGCCTACATAGTACATGTACCTTAGCCTACTGACTGTCGTATGGGTACCTACCTAGTCTTCTTTTTAAAGTTTTAGAGAATTATTTAGATGCACCACAAATAATTTGGTTTTTTTGGTCAATGTTGTTAGATAATAATGTATATATATATACAAAATAGAAATGTTCTTGTAACATGTAAGCAATAGGCCTACATGCAGAGAACAAACAATAGTGAAACAACAGTTACCGGTATGTTATTTTTAAAATTATATAGTTGCTATGGCAACCACCCAAAGTTCTTAATATTTTACTAAAAATTATGCAATTTATAACAATAATACAATTTATAACATATATATTACATTGCTTTTAGATGCTAAAAGCTTTCTTTAAAATGGGTGATCAGTGATCACATGTTTCATTATGGTAAAAACCCGTACCATTCAAAATGCATTTTTGGGGTTTGTTTTTCGTTTTGGTTGCTGACAACAAAATATATGTTAAATATACAAGAGTAAAGATATGTAATTTTTAATATTCTCAAACTTCTGGACTTGTAAACAAAATTCACTTCAAGATTTCAATTCCTTCATATTTCATTTACAGTATGTTTTCAAAAGGGAACCTCTTTCCAGCTCTTGAGAGAAGACATATTTATAAAGATTTTGATTTTATTTATTTTTTAAAATCTTGCCCAATAGCTTCTGATTTTAAATAATACAATTATCAATATTGATGTCATAATTATTGAAAAATAATGCTTTTTTAAAAAAAATATACAGTGGTTGCTATGGTAACCACTCAAACTCCTTAATATTTTGCTCAAACTTATACAATCCATATCATTTGACATTATATGGGTTTCAAATATTTTAAAATGCTTATTTTTAAATGTGGTGATCACTTTTTGTGTCATGGTAAACAGCGTTGAAAATGGTCAAAAATTGCATTTTTTCCATTTTAGTTGCTATGACAACCAAAATTGATAATATATGGCGGATTAAAAATATGTAATTTTAAAAATTCACAAACTTTTTGACATATTCCCATAATTTCACTTGTTTATCTCCATTCCTTCTTATTTTACTAATGACCCAAAAACGCCCCAAAAATAGGCAATTGTGTGCCGCGGAAAATTGTTAAAAAATGAACATATATTCAGCTCTTGAGAGAAGGCATTTAGATATTTTTACTACTTTTTTTCTGTTTATCTTACTTGATAGCTACTGACTTTAAAATGCATAACAACCAGGTTCAATATTTCAGATATAACATGGACAAGACCATTTTTAATGAAAAAATTGACCAAAATCGCTTTGACAAAATGGAATTTTTGAGAAAACCTATGTATTTTGGAGTTGCTGGGGAAATCGGAGTAATTGTTACACAAATGTGAAAATCGAAACATAATTAGCCTTAAAGTTGTATTTCATGAATTTACATCTACATTTTTGATAGTTTCGATATGAAATGAAATATGGCATTGCAAAAAACACCAAAAATGACTTTTTCAAGGTGTTGAAAAACCTTTCTTCCGCGTAAAGTCAAAAATCACAACTTTGAGCCTCCATAAAAAAAAAAATTTTCATCCGATTTTGAATCTGTAAAAAGTTTTGTGAGAAGAATGATGAGATCTACTTGAAAAACTTATAAAATCAAATGCATAATCATAATCTCAAAATCACCTTTTCCACCTAGTAATATGCTCATTCTGAAACAGTACTGGATGGACAGGCAGGGTCAATTTCAATATTCAACCTCTTAACATTTTTTGAGGTACTTTTTAGGCTGTGAATAGGAGAGAGAGAGAGAAATGGGAGTTTAATATCCACTCGGCACAAACTAGGTCATTTCGGACTAACATATTGTTCAGTTTTATTTCCATAATTCGCTTGCGCGTAGGGGTCTTTAGCAGTGGGGGGAAACCGGAGGACCAGGAGAAAACCCTCAAGGTTGGACAGGTGACCCTACTCCTTGTATCGAAACCATGCCAGTTGACTCAATGACAGACTTTATGATACAGCGCACACATGCTAACCATTCAGCCATAAAAAATTGGAATCTTAAAGATACATTATGTAAGATTTAGATTAAGAGCTAGATATTCTTGTTAAATAGTTCGAAAATAGATAATGTAAAATGAATAATTTGAACATTTCATTCAAATTACTCTATTGCGACGGAAGATATTAGCCTTTGAAGGTTTGACAAGACGTGTGCAATAATTTCAACCAACGAACTGGTTGATCGAAGCTAAGTCTTGCTCCTCCATTTTTAAATTAAATCAAAATATGGCTGAACCATTCTAATCTATTTAATATCCGAGAAATCCGATGCCATCGAGGGTTGATTATGGCCTGGATCAGTGAATTAATGTCTAATGAATAATTTAGAAAACATTTCAGGCCTAAAGAAAGACTTGCAATAGGCAGATTTAGCTCTAGCATAATGTATGTTTAATCTGAAAACTTGAATGGATACCATACTAACCTTTGACCTCCACTTAATTCACTCAAGGACTCTTTCCATACATCACCAAATGCTACTTTAACTTCAAGTCCATCTAAAACTGTTTTACTGTCTGGAGGAGATAACTTAGCCTGTGTACCAGGTAGTAGCGAAGAAAAGATCGAGTTAAAATCCTGCCGAAGAAAATATACTACAATTAATGATAATAATATGTAAATTTATAAAGCGCTAGTACTCCATGTACAGAGGCATGCTCACAGCGCATACAGTTAATTAATTTGATTAATCATGATAACATTTCTCAAAAATACAGATCTATATTTCGTTTCTTTTTTTTATACTTTCGATGGCCTACACTACGTGAAGATCTGACAAGTTATAGCAATAGGTCACGTCAGGGGTCAAAAGACTGACTTATGACCCTATGACGTCGGACATTTGATTAACCAATCAGCATTGATGTTACTAGTGGATTACCCACAGTTCCGTGAAAAACACGCCTAAAGCTCGCCATAACAGACCGTTTCATTGGCTTATCCCTGACGCCATTCAGAACACGAGTTAAATAACAACTCTTCCAGATCCAAGTGTAGTAAAGACAAGTAAAACGAAATTTTGAACTATAAAAACGAAACGAAATAGGATCTGTGTTTTAACCAGATTGAGATTGAGAATAAAGTAATTTGAAAGATATTTTCAATATATTCATTTCTCATCATCTATCTTTTTTAACTATTATTAGGTAGGATATTATATTAGAAAAACTTCAAATATACCTTATAAAATGACCTTTCAATAATTTTAGTAGTCAATAAACACGAATATAATATAATTTTTCACTTCCAAAAGTCCAATATGGAGGATATAGCAGCAAGTTTACAAAAATATGTTAAAACCTATAGCTTCTATCGCGTTCACATGGTTTTTGGCAAAGGGGGGATAACTCAGAAATGGAAGGATGTGGATTCTGAATATCGATAGGGATTGATGACCCCAATACTTCAAGCAAAATATGGAAAAGATCAATTTAAAAAAATGAAATAAAAAGGGTTTTAACGTCCTACTGTTCTGCTCCGACTTGGCTAATGAGGACGGGCATACGCCATACATTGTGCTATGAGGGACAGTTTGCCCGGACAGCAGCGCTACAGCCTACTCTTATATCAAATTCCAACAGCCAAGAGATCTTTTACGTGCATGCTAATGTTTACATGGGACCTTGGTTTTTCATCCCATCTGAACAACTATACATTGTCCCTTGCCAGGCCCACTTTCCTGCAAGGGAGAAGCCCGCCGGAAAATCCTGATGAACATTTTTGGCCAACACGAGATCAAACGCAGGACCCTCCGGTCACCAAAACAACGTCTTAATCACTGAGCCATTGCGGCTCCCAAACCAACAAAGACCATAGCCTTTATCGTGTTCACGGGGCATAACTCCAAAACTGAAAGTTGCAGAATGTTGAAAATGAATAGGGTTCATCCTCTCATGACTCCAATTCTTCTCACCAAATTTGGAAAACATTCGTTAAAGATAGGTTGCAAAGCAACGAAACAGCAGCTAAATAGTCTGGGCGTTCGACAAGGTTTGTCGCATATTTATTCTTTTGTAGGTAATGGGAGGTATTTACAAGACCATTTCATACAGATAATTAAGAGCCGTAATTAACAGAAATTTCTGAAATTCAATAGGATTCCTCGATTTATCATTTTCAAAAGTAATGAGCAATCATACCTCAATTAAAAGCTGAGTTGTTACGTTACAATGTTTTGACCAATCAAATTGCTTATCGATCATTAGCCTAAGCAGAAAATTCTCATCAAACTTAGTCAAGGTAATGATATAATGAATCTATACTAGGAGTTCATAGGTTTCGATTAATTATAACCAAAGTTATCGTGCCCAAAAGCATCAACCAATCAAACTACTTATCTCTGCTTACCGTAAGCAGACGATGTTCATCTTCGAACTCCATCAAGGCATTCACCTAATGAATGCCTACACCAAGTGTGAACATTGTTGCTCAATTAGAAAGAGAGTTATTGTGTTCAAAAGTCTTGACCAATCAAGTTGCTTATCGCTCTGCTTACCTGGAGCAGAAAATGTTCATTATTGAACTTAATCAAGGTATTGATGTAATGAAACTATACACGAAGTTTGATCACTCTCACTTAATCACAATCTAATTAAAATATAGATATATATTTCGTTTTGTTTTTTATACTTTCGATGGCCTATACTACATGTAGATCTAACAAGTTATAGTGGGAGTTCACGTTCTATGACGTCAGGTACCAAGCAAGCGACATTTGACCCGATTACGTCAGTCATTCGATTAACCAATTAGCAACTGCCATGGTTTTTTTTTATCTACTTTTGCTTTGTTTTGATTTCTATTGCCGCTATTGTCTACCCACAGTTCCGGGCAAAAAAGGTCAAACGCTCCGTTCGACAGACCACTTGAGTGGCTGACCCCTCATTTCAAGCAGAACACGAGTTAAATAACAATGCTTCCAGATCCAAGTGTAGTAAAGACAAGTAAAATCGAAATTTTGAACTATAAAAACGAAACGAAATTGGAACTGTGTTTTAATCATATTGACTTAATCAGAACTAAAGTTATTGTGTCCCAAAACATCAAACAATCAAACAATCATATTATTTCTACAGGTATTATTTAATTTGTTTATCATCAAAACCGATTCATTTATCACAGACAATTTCTCACGAATTTAACACGATGTAATAGACGGCCATGTTTGTTGTGGGCGGGACTTGAATGACAATTTCACTACCGTACGAGCAACAGAATTACAGCTGAAAGTTATGCAATAATGCAATTGCGTGTTATAATTAATATAAACAAATGTAACAAAAGCAATTTATTTCATAAAGAAATATAATTATATAAAGCTTGATACGGCTGAATATCGGTAATTATTATAACTGTAAACAATAGAGTTTGACCTAGTTACTGGAGATCGCAGGTGGATTTGAGTCACATATGTTATGGCACGAGTTTCACACGCGCTGGGAAAGGGTGCGCCTAAGCCACGCATATTTTTTTTTTCCTGAAACACCTCTGCCAAAGTCGCCCTGCGCCTTATCTACGCATGCGCCTTATACACCGAAAAATACGGTAATAAACACCTACACCAAGTTTGAACATTCTAACTCAATTAGAAGGAGAGTTATTGTGTCCCAAAAAGTGTGATGAACAGACAGACAGATGGATGAACCCATTTTAATAGTCTCTTGCTTTCTTCGAAAAGCCGGGGGCAATAAATAGTTCCATGGAGGCCAACCACATGTATGATGGCAGAATGTTTGCACCATGCACAGTTTTGGCTGCAACTTCTGACTAAAATCCCTAAAAAAAAAATAATAATAAAAACACTTACAGAAACAATACGTGTTTCGATCAAAGGTCCGAAACATGTAATTAACCAGTGGTTGCCAGGCAAGATACACCCACATTTTGCAAGAGATGGATAGAGAACACGCTGAAAAAAAACCAACCTGAATTTTCGTACAATAATCCCAGAAGTTATGGCCTGTAATGTGCGAATATCAAAAGGAAATGAGATCTTTGGGATATAAAGATATATTTTAATTTTCTTCAAAATCTGCACAAAAATTGTGACCTCTAGAGGGTCCACAACCTTGGTATTACATACTTTTATACTATTTGCGTACAAGGAGTGGCCATTTTGTCCAGCAGTTTCGATCCCGATTTTTCGTACAATCACAGGCCATAATTCATGAAGCTTTGATCCGATACATGCCAATATCGAACGCAACCGAGATCTTTGGGAGATAGACCTATATTTCAAGTTTCATTAAAATCGGATAAAAATTGTGACCTGTAGAGTGTCCACAAACAAATTGTGGATAGATGGACGTCCGGGGGCAATGGCATAATACGTCCACATGAAAATGTGGGCGTATAAATACGCTTATGAAAACAATACATGTTTCTTCCAACGCCAGCAATGGAGCTGTGACACCTAATATTACTCAGCCAAACATATACTGTGGCTCAAATATCCTACAAATTCGTACAAATCGACTTTAGCATGTTCCATACATGCCAAAATGTCTTGGCGTTGGGGGAGGGGACCTCTCCTTACCATATTAATTTTGTTTTTTGTAACCCCACAGGATCTTCTCTCTCAGGTAAAATCAGGTCACCACAACCCTGGTCGATGACATAATATGACCACGTGAAAATCATTTACCTTATTCACTTGAGTCCAGGCTTTTTTCAGAGCATTATTTTTCTTTTCATCTAATTCCACAATTACTAATGCTATTTTAGATTTATCATTGAGAACAATCTGTCGTTTTCTAATCAGATCATTATACTAAAACAAATGTACAAAATATAGATTTATAGCACAAAATTTTTTTTTTTGTCTGATCACAGCAGGTCGACAAACCTGGAAATATAGTACACCTAATGCTTTTTGGTGGATTATATATCTTCAGTATGTGTAGATTCAGAATTCGAAAATTGCCACCCTGGCAACCTTATGCAAATGAAATATTCAAGATGGCCGTCACGAGGCATATTCTGGCTATTTAGTCGGGTAAAGTTTGTGACAGATTCTCTCAGACATCGGTTTTGATGGTGGGTTCCATAAGAATTTGACCCACTGAATCCAATGAGTTTAGGTATTTCTCCCAAAATTGACGGCTAATCCGCTAGGGGACCACATTCAAAATTTTGGCCCATTTTAGCTGGAAACTCATAAAGTCTCCTATGAAGGTATGTAATGTATTGAAATATAGGTTTTAGGTGTCACCTAATTCCGATAGAAACATAAAAATATGTTCCGACCAAAAGGTATTCCACTATGACCACTATATTCATGATAGGTTGCCAGGCAACGAAACATACGCCCACAGCAGTGAAATCGTCGGAGTAGTTGACAAGGGTTGTCGCATATTTATTTTTTTGAAGGTAATTGGGGGCATAAGACAATTTCATACAGATCAGATTATAATTTTGTCGTTTGAGGGTTCACAAGGTTCTTCAAACTGTAACAAGGGCCTTAACTCTGGAAGTAATTTACAGGAAATTTTGAAATTTGACAGGCTTTTCCGTTTTACTATTCCATTCCCCGTTTGTACATGACAAGGAGTAGGATCGCCTGTCCAACCTCGTGGGTTTTTTCTTCGGGTCCTCTGGTTTCTTCGTACTGCTAAAGACCCCTACGCGCATGCGAATTATGGAAATAAAATTGAACCATATGTTAGTCCCAAAATGAACTTGTTTTACTAATTTAAATAATGCATACAGATCTGATAACTTTTGTCATTTGAATGTTCACAAGGTTCACAAAGTAAAACAATGGCCATAACTCAACGGAAATTGCTGAGATTCAATAGACTTCCGTTTCACAAATTTAAATGATGCATATAAATTTCATACATATCAGATGATAACTTTCATCAATCGAGCATCAAACTGTTTATCACTGTTTACCCTAAGCAGAAAATTCTCATCTTCGAACTCCATGAAGGTATTCACCTAATAAAAACCTAACCCAAGTGTGAACATTCTAGCTCAATTAGAATGAGAGTTATTGTGTTCCAATTGCTTATCGCTCCACTTACCCTGAGCAGAAAATGCTCATTATCGAAGTTAGTCAAGGTATCGATGAAATAAAACTATACACCAAATTTCATCACTCTCACTTAATTAGAACTAAAGTTATCGTGCCCCAAAGCATCAACCAATCAAATTGATTATCTCTGCTTACCCTGAGCAGAAAATTCTCATCTTCGAACTCCATCAATGCAATGACCTAATAAATAAACACCCACACCTAGTTTGAACTTTAAAGTTTAATTAGAAGGAGAGTTATTGTGTTCTTAAGTCTCGGGCCAATCAAACTACTTATCACTCTGCTTACCCTCAGCAGAAAATGCTCATTATCGAACTTAGTCACGGTTTTGATGTAATGAAACTCTACACCAAGTTTCATCACTCTCACTTAATAAGAACTAAAGTTATTGTGTCCCAAAGCATCAACCAATCAAATTGCTTATCTCTGCTTACCCTAAGCAGAAAATGCTCATCTTCCAAGTCCATCAAGGCATTGAGCTAATAAAACCCACATCAAGGAGAGTTATTGTGTCCCAAAAAGTGTGACGGACAGACAGACGGACAATGTTGACTCATATTTGACGACTCTGACTTATATTTGACAACTCACAAAGTTTTAACTAGACACGAAATGTAATTTAATATAATATTGCAGTGTTTTAGACACTATGTCCGTTGGAACGTAGAACCGAATATAGATGTTTAAGGACAGTTTAAATCACTACAATAACAAAGCAAATGATTTAATATTGAAAATAAATGAAAAATAGATAAAAAAAAATTTCCTGTGGAATTCTGTTCGGAATTTGTATTTGCCGAATTAAAACCAGGTCATTTCCTGATTAATGGTTAACAGTAGCTTGCTGGCGATGAATTTTTAATCTTGTAAAATGGACAGTAAACAAATATTTTGTATGAAATAAATGGATCGGATATATAAGTTTAATGTGTTAGCAATGCAGACTATTGACAATTTGAATTTTGCCATCCACTAAATGGAGTAAACTAATTATAAACTTTTGCGTCAAACTTTTGACTGTTCGGATGTTAGATGTTATTTCATCAAAATATCAAAGAGTAACGTCTATATGGAAGAATATAGTAATGTAAAAACTTTTGTATCAATCGACTCAATCTGATTAAAATACAGATCTATATTTCATTTCGTTTTTTTATACTTTCGATAGCCTACACTACATGAAGATCTGACCAGTTGTACTGGGGGGTTGCGTCGGTGGGGTCATACGAACGGCTTTTGATCCTGTGACGTTAGACATTGATTATCAACCAGCGTCGATGTTTCTAGGGGTTTACCCACAGTTCCATGCACAGCATGCCAAGAACTCGTCATAACAGACCGTTTCATTGGCTAATTTCTCACATCAACTAGCTAGAATGTCTGTTATATAAGAACTCTTCCAGATCCTAGTGTTGTGAAGACAAGTAAAACGAAAATTTTGAACCATAAAAAACGAAACGAAACAGGATCTGTGTTTTAATCAGATTGCAATCGACTAAGAGCAAGGAAAATTGAGTGTTAACAAGAACAATCACCCCAAAGATTTTGAAAAATAGACTGCCAGAAATGCAGTATTTCAGGCACCGATTGTCTAGATAAATAGAGCTGACCAGATACCACCTGTCGCCTGATCATTGGTGAATCATTACACAACGCTATGTAAACATATTTGGAGCTCTGTTTATACCCGAATGATATTGTTACTCAGTTAGGTATTGGTTGTTAATCGGACTATTGACCAGTCGTAATTTGGAACAGAAATTTGCTTTCATTATGGCAATGTTGGGGGAGATTAGGTCTAATCAAACGAAACACTGTGAGGAGTATGCTACAATAGTGACCTTACGCGCATATATTATTTGTTTTTGTCTTTTTGAAATATCACTTAATTCGTTTGTCATGTATAGACAGATGTATATGACTACTATGCAAGTATAAAATAAACTATTTACTTTTTACGATTTGCTGTTCAAAAATTCATCATCCTTCTACTAGATCACGAGTTTATAATAAAATGTTGAAAAATAATAATAATAATAATAATCGTTTTCTATAGCGCTGAACATTCAGTCAGTCTAATTGCACTGTGGCGCTTTAAATAGTCTAGAGAGATTAATTATATTTACCAAGAACAACTCTTTTGGCATTTACAGTAAATTAAGCTTTTCACACTTTGTTTAAAAATTTTAATGGTGTAATTGTGAGCTCAGTTTTCATGATTAGATACTTACTAGACAAATAGATAGATGATTAGATAGATAGTAGATAGTAATGTATAGTGATATTTTTTTAATTTGAAATACTTATTTGTAATAAGTATTTGTAGTTTTGATAGTGGAACATTTTTAAACGTGAATTATTTGAAAAAAGTATATAATGTGTTTATATTTATTTCTATTTCTATTATGGCTTGTTCTTAATGGAACTGGAACCCACGTTAATTTGGTTTCCAGTGCTCTGTTACACTTTTCAGTGTGTTTTTTTGTCATTTTTGTTGAAAATCATTATTTTTGGACAAAAATGGAGAATATTTACTACTTAACGGGTCGAGTGCCACCCAATTTTTTTCTTGATCATAGTACTATTGATCATTGCCTTTTCAGTCAGCATTCCCAAAAAATTCTTATGCCCGCAGTGGATGAGATATAGATAGAATAAAAAGACATACCTAAATTGAACTATACTCTTCAAAAAAAGTAGGGGATATTGAAACGCAAATACCTATGCAGGTTGTGATATGATAAATAGTCATGGACACTTGACATGCTTTGAGAGTATGTTCACAGATGAAGAACTTACATCGCCCCAACAGAACCACCGAGCTGCATGTGCGACACGCAATAGCACCATACACATGGGAGGGTTGATGAAAACTGCCGCTTGCTGGTTTATCCTATCCATGTTTGCTTTAGCGTATCTATGCTTTAGTGTGTTACGTTTAATTTGATCGGGAGATGTGTTCGTCGACGTCAAAGTCAACGGACAACACAGCTAGAATTGGCCGTGGCACTGCAAGAGAAGTGGGTCAGATTGTCCCAAATCGTGATTGGACGGTTGATTAGGAGCATGCCACGACAAATTGCTGAATGTCTGAGGATTGGTGGAGCAATTATTCAATATTAAGACAAAAATCAAAAACGTCTATTTTCACTTTTGACAGTGTATCTCTTTGCAAGTGAAATGTGGCCGCCAGATAAGCCGCCCATATGAACTGTTTATGTTCATGTGTAGGCAATTGGCCTGTTAATAACATACACTGGTTACCTCTAATAAAAACAGCAGTGCATTTATGCAGTTTTGTATTGTTTCTGAATATCCCCCTTTTTTTTTTTGAAGAGTATATTTTGGTACCTTGCAGCACCAAGTCAAATACCAAAAACCTCTCGATGTAAGTTCATCAAACTTTTAGAATGTATAGCCTACTTGCTAACCATATCAGCTACCCTATAAAGTTTCATTAATCTACTCGCCATAGTTTAGTTGTAACCCAAAATTGAAAAATGGCCTGAAAATGATGATTTTTTGGGCTTTTTCCTGTCTTAAAATTTTTTTCTACACTCTAAAAATGGTTCGATTGATCTAAAATTGTAGCAGTGGGGTTTGGAGGGGTTACCCATCATACATTAAACCTGCGGCTGCCCGGCAGGATATGCCCACATTTTGCAAGAGATGGATAGAGAACAAGCTAAGAACAAAAATGATTATTTGTACAATCAGGGGCCATAATCCAGAAA